AAAAAAAAGAAAAAAAGAGCAAAGAGCAAGTGGCAGTATTTCCCCCCCCCCCCCCGCACCCTCTTTTTTTCGGTTTTTTTTTTTTTTTTTGTTTTTTTTTTTTTTTTATATTACTAAAGAAGAAAAAGCAAGGGGCAGTTTTTCCCCCCCCCCCGTACACCCTACTTTTTACGATTTTTTTTTTTTTTTAAGATTAGTTTGATCATTAATATGCCTTTCACATAAACATGCTGTACATTTCAGCCAGAGTAAAATACGGGCACAGTTTATGGCTTCTAGTGAGTGGTGCTTGCCATAAATAAGCATGGACAGGTAAGAGGAACCAGCACCGGGCGCTGCATTGTCAAGGGGAGCAGTGAGGCCTTTTGAAGTGCTCTGAGCAGGAAGCAGCGCAGCCTTTTTAATTAGAGCACATACAGCTGGAGGATATACAGGAGGAGTCTCCTCAGAATTTATTTTGGGAAGGGAGGGACATATCCTTCAGGTGTTCTCATTAATGCAGGCTTAAACACAGAGCATAAAACCCAGCATTTTAAGAAGAAAAAAAAAAATAACCCTTTCCCTCCAAATACCAGGGCTGAAATCCTACTCTGCTTGAAATCAACTGATGTTTTGCCATTTATCTCAATGAGACCATAATTTCTTTCCAAAAAATTTGTATGGACCGCTTGATCCCATTCCCATCAATAACAAGGCTGTACGTAGAAAACTGCTGATACATTTTCAGTGTGTTTATATATAAATACATAGGAACATCAGAAAAAAAAAATTAATTTCAAGCTTGATCTTGCTTTTCTTCTGCGTGCAAGGCCACTCCTGATTTCACAAATGATTTCCATTCTGAGAGGTCAAAATCAGCTCCCATGTAAGGATCAGACGAATTATTTCTGTGGTATCCAAGATTTGTAATTTTAAGAGAATTAAATTTGCATCTCTGGAGGCAGAAATACCATTTTGTTTCCTTACTGAGCACTGATGAAACAGATAAAAAAAATCTGTAGAAATTATAAACCGGCAAATTCTGAATAGATGTGAGGTTTTGTTATGTGGGAGAAGCAGCAAAAGTACCAGTGAAAGAACTGTAAGCAGTTCTTTTAAACATGTAACTGAAAGTGATCGTTGTTTGCTTTTACCCTCTATCTGGTAGGTCATAATTAGTTTATAATTTTCAAGATTTCTGTAAGTGATTACGCAGTTTAAGTCTGCACTGCTATTTGCTAAGAAAAAGTCCTTGTCAGCACTTTTGCCTTTGTAATAAGAAATTTTGAAGAACCTATTTTTTAGATCATTATTACTTTTAGATGCCAGATACGTGATGCCAAAGCGTTCGTGAAGACAGTAGAAAACGACAGGTATATTAATGTGTTTAACTGCTAACTATTGATAAAAATCTCTGTGTAAGAACTAGATATGATTGTTATTAATGAGACCTGGTTTTGTTTAATTTGGGAAATAAGCCACATTATTATTTAGGTATTATTTTGTAAATCAATTAAGAAAATACCTGGGTTTAGTTACAATACACTGCCTTCAAATTGTTGAACTGTAACAGTTTCCACTAATGTTACTCCCCATATCTATTAAAAACATTTCTCCCAAGAGCTAGATGCTTCCTGATCAAAATAGCTAAAAGCATTTGACTGTACCATGGATTAAATCAATCTAATTGTTCTTAAAATCTCAGTGTAAAGTAACAAGGGTATTTGTGTGCTTCATGTTGATCTGTGGATGCCAGAAATTGTTTTTGTAATAGCAGTGAAAATCATCACGTTTTATTTTATATTTGATAAATGATTATTAAAAATACCCTTAAAAAGCAAAAAATCCTTTCTTAGTCCTTCATTCTTTAGCAAACTGAGTATTATTTTTATAGATCAGAATAGCAAGGTTTGCAGATAGTGTCAGGAAAACAAATGCCTACTTCTTAACTATGTTTCCATAACATTTCTTTTGTGATCAAGATTGGAGAAGGTCTCTAGGTTATTGATGAGTCTTATTTATCTATGAACTAATATTAAACTGACTTGCAAAATTGCTTATTTCAGCTGTGTTATATCACAGTCCAATGTTTGTTGGGTTTTTTTGCATGCTGTATCTTAGCTTTGAAAGTGTGAAGATGGTGTCTATTTCTAGAAACAGATAATAGATGTATTTGCAAGCAAGTTTTGACACTGCATAAGCAATAAAAGTAAAAAAATAAATAGTATATTCTTATTATGCAGGATTTCTGACTGTATCTTGTTTAATCTGTTACCTGTTAAAATCTCATTTCAAAATTGTTAAAAACCTGAAAAGCACCAACTTCAGAGAATTTATAAAGTATTTCAAATGTGATTTTAAAAACATAATGCTGCCATTATAAAATAAACTCTTATCTTTGAAATCTAAAATAGGCATGTGTAATTTAACCTATCACTACTGAGAGCAGACAAATCTATTTTAAGATACTATGGTTTGACTATATTTCTCTCTGTATCACTGGAGAAAAGGCTTTTTATTTAGATTTTTAAAGACTTTCATTATTGCTTTTTATTTTGTTAGATAGCTTTGTGGAATAGTAACAGGATTTTACAAAACCATCGGACTTTGAAAAAAAGCATGGGTTGTGTCTTGTGTCTGCGGCATGCATGCTGCTTGTTTTTATGTGGAACACTGAAAGAATGCTGTATTAACAAAAAAAAAAAACCAGCTCTAGAGTTATTATTTCAGCCTTCTGAAAGATTTTGTGAAAATTCAGTGCCTTAAATATACACTGTGTATATTTGTATATGAAACAAATATCTTTGATCTACAGTGTTTTGAGAAACATAGCTGGTTAGTGGATTAGTCCTCTAAAATGTGGCATTTAGTTGTTGTTTGAAGAAACCCATTTCCAAATGTTACAGAATTAATTTTGGCTGGAATTAAAATAGCACTTTTTTTTTTTTTTTTTTAAAGAAATCAGTGATCACAGGAATAAAACTTGCTTGTTTTCTACTGTGATTTTTGTCATGGATCGATGACCCCATGTCAGATTTAGGCCCTTGATTCTCGCCCACTAAGCAGTAACAGGCTTGGGGCGAGGAGTTAGAGCGTGCCAGCTTTTTTGGGTAATACTGCCTTGGACAGGACCTAGGCCTTGCACAATGGGGAGATGAGTCCAGTAGCTTATTTGCATTTGAATGACTTCTTAAGGGGGGTGGTATCTGCTTTCTGATTGCTATCCAGCATTATTTCTACATCATTTTGCAAACAAAATCCTCTTGCATTTCACATGTGGGGCTGAGGACGCTACCGTGGAGCCCTTTGTGGGGGTGACGCTTTAGCTTGGCAGGCTGGAGGTGCCAGTTTGGTTTCGCAGCCTTGTGTCAGGGTCGGGGAGGAGGAGGAGGAGGAGCGGGGAGTCTCCAGGGGAGAGGGGCAAGGCAAGCAGCCCTGCTTCCCAGTCCTTGTCCTGCTGCTGGCGTGGCTGTGCACACGCTGTGGCTGTAACGAGAGTCTCGGGAAGTCTGCACTCATCTTGTGGGACACACTGAAGGCATTAGAGCTGAGGAGAAGAAGATTGGCATAGGAACTATACAATGTTTGTTTTAAAATTATTTTTCTCCTGGATCTTTGGACCTATCTCACAACTACAATATAAAGCTACAGCCAGAGAACCCAGATGAAGTCAGCAAAATACTGTTTTTGTTAATCTTGTCAATTTGTCAATGTTCAGACCAGGCTTTCATGCCACCTTCAAGCTGCTTTCTCCCTGCTTCTGCTGCATCGTGCTGACAGTAAGGATAGGAGTACCTGTCAATCCTCCAGAGGTAGCCCAGACCGGTTCCTGTCCAACTACCTCTTCTTGCCTGGACAGCTCTCCAATTCCATGTCCATTTGTAGACACTCCCTTGTCCCTATCTCACTATGTCACCAAGACCTGTTCCCACAGATGGATCTGGTGGAGGAGCTGTTTTTGCAGCTATCCTATCCTGTTTGCCCTGACCTAAAAAGCATTAAAGCTAAAAAGCCTTACTTGGAAGACCGTCATGCCAAGCTAGACGGCTCTGTGCTCAGGCAGGTTCTCCTGCTAAAGGCAGCTGGGTGGAGCATTAGCAGACTTGCAGGTTACCGTCATTTGTCTTATGAGGTGACCTAAATCAACTGAGTGATCTACTTATCTGGGACAAACACCCACACGGTTCCTTCCTCCTGCAGCATCTTTTGATGCCCTCATTCCAGCGTAGATTACAAATACTTCTCCTAAGATCGTATTCATTGCTTTATTCATCCCACGCATTAACCAGAATCTTTATGTATTCTTCTGGATCACCCGTTAAGTTGGTTGACTTGGGGCGGGGAGGGGGACTGGAAATTAGGCAGCATCCAGGTGTATTTAAAGCAGAAGTCATCTCCTGGGGATGTAAAAGAGAATTGTGGGAATATATTGTAGGAGTTCCTAAATGTCAGCTCAGCTGTTCTCACTTCTGACATGTCCTTGCTCTGAAGTGATTAGCTCAGGACTTCTCTGACATAATACCTAAGTTTCGGCCTCTGCATCTAGCCACAAAGGTGAGTATGGATTTAAAGGATGCGTCAGCATGAATACAGGGATGTGTCTGCCAACAGTCAGGTTATCTGGGCGCAAGTCAGAGGCCAGAAGCCAGGGCTGGTCTGAAGTCAAGTTCTCTCGGTTGGTTCTTGGTCATAAGTCAGTGACTTTTGAGAAAGAAGCAGATGTGGTTTTGCATGTCTCTGAGGTTAAGGGGAAAAAACTGTTTCATTTACTGCCCTTTACTGTGGAAAAGTCTTCCCTGCTCATTCCAAGCAATCTCGTACTCTTTCCTCTTTTTAGCACATGTGATCGAAGAAACAATGAACCCTTTTTTTTCCTCCCTCCTCCGATGAGGGTTGTATGTTACTTCCAGCAATGCTAAGGGACTTGTGACTCATCCAGCTAAGCACGACATTCGAAACTGACCCCCGGGTTTGCAGGCAGCGTGATTTGATTGTCCTTCCTGTTCCTATTCTTTTGACAGGTTCCCACAGCCAGCGTCACCATAGAAGGAGCTTCTGCCCTCAACCGTGTCCGCTGGGCCCAGGCTGGGAAGGAGGTAGCAGTTGGTGATTCGGAAGGTCGCATATGGATCTATGATGTTGGAGAGGTATTATTACCGTTTGGGGTTTTTTTAAAGCTCGGCTCCTGGAGAATGCCACATCCATGTTTGAGAAAAGGTCGTGTATTGTAACACATGAGTAGGACACCTCCAAAAAAACAAGCCAGATTTCTTTCAGTGGAGTCCCTGTTGATTTTGGGTTGCCAGCAGTGTGTTAGTCATAAAGCTACCTTGCAAAAGAGTTAACTATTTAAAGGTTCATGAGAGAAGTCTTTTTGAAAGTTTTCAGTGTTTTTAAAACATTTTTTTAATGGTTCTGTGGGTGCAGTTGGAAAAAATTACAAAGGAACATAAAGAGGAAAACAGAGGTCCAAAAAGAGTCTGTGTTGTTCTGAAGTTGGTCCTGAAGGGTTCACCCTTTATCCTCCAGTGTCTCTTATTTCGTGACTGGCTTAATGCTGTAGATTTTTCTCAGCATGACGTGTACAGAACACGTCTGTTCTTTTAGTACTGAACAATGCTGAATATGTCTGAATATGTGCAAAAGTACTAACAGGAGGATATGAGAGGTGTCATTGTGGAGGATGGTAGGTGCTTGTGTGATAAAAGAGTATGCAGGTACTGAGAAATAGCAGGATGCGTATTCGGTGTCTAAGGCTGCTCTCAATTCACCCTGCTACATCTTATAAAAACTATCTAAACTGCAGTGTGTTTGGCACTGATGGAATCTGCCTCTTTGTTGATGAATACGGTATAAAGTGTTCTGTCAGCATTACAATCCTTTGGAAGAGTTAAGGGTGAATCTCTGAGCAATCAGCTTTTATGTAGAGAATTTGTTTTCCATCATTATCTGTGATAGGATACTGAGATATCCATCTCTACACAGTAGGGAAACATTATAGAATACATACAGAATTATCTGTAACTCTCATAAAGTGATTTTATGGCCCATAGCAAAATTGCTTGTGCATGACTCATATTTTTGGATTGCATTCACTTGTGCAGGAGTTGCCTTTCCTCACAAATGTTTGCTGAAACTTCTTGCCGTATTGTTAGCATAATTTCTAAGTTGTCTAAGGTTACTGTGTTCAGATTTCCACTATGGCACTGGCAGGTCAGGCTGTTTTTATTTATTTTTCATTTTTGCATGACTGTTCCGAAAAGGTGTTTTTTCTGTCTTCCAAGTGATATGACACGCTATGGAAATGTCTTTGATGACAGTGCAGTCTGATCTTGTCTGGGAGTCTAGACGAGCTGTAGAAATGTCTCTTTTTGCATATCATACAGCAAATCATTCATAGGATTGTTTATCCCTGCAAGCTCTCACTCAGGAGAAAATAGATTTAGTGTTCTATGCAGAAGAAGTAATATTTAAGTTTTTGGCCTTTCCTCTGTATAATCAGACTTCAACTTGCAAAATGAGTCACAGTGATACACTCAGATCAGAAAGAAAGACGGGCTTCTATTACTTGAGAAGGTATAAAGAAAAGAGAGTAATTCAACAGTATTCATTTGTGTGAGTCCAGATCAGTGTTACGTAAAGTGTTCTGCTTCACGGATGTTGCATGCCCTGCCCGTGCAGAGCCCCAGCATCTCCAGCTCAGCTCCATGCATACTTATGCAAACAGATGGATGTCCATCCACGTGGCTGCTGACAGGTCATGGGACATTGCCACCCCTCCTCCTCCTCCGTAATGAATGAGGGAGCTCATTAATTTGTTGCCTGGTTTACTTTGGCAGTATCAGTCTCTGCAGTAATTCCTGTACCAAATTCAGGAGAGGTGGGCTGTGCTGCAACAGCTTCGGCTACTACCAGGGCTGCTGTCTTGTTAGTGGCTTTCTCTGGTTTAAAAAAGAAGGGTGCTCATATAATCTCTAGCACAACTCTTCTCACTATAAAGCCGTAAGTGAGGTGCAGGTATACTTTGCAGCTCAAGAGGTTGGAACTGAGGGCTTCTAACAGCCTCTTTGGTCACTAACCCTCTGTGCCAGTCCATAAAGAGCTCTCTGATGAGTTATTCTGTGCTTAGCTGTCCTCAGGCATGACGCACGGGAGATTCACAGCATGCATATGCACTGTTGGAAGTGTCTGGCAGAAACAAGGCGCTCTCTTTACTTCAGTGTGCAGACACCAGCCAGTTCCTTGGCTCAGCTGGGGTCCTCCTTTGACTGTCTTTTTTGTATGGGTTTGATTCTCAGATATGACGGGGCTGGTCTGGCAGTTTAAAGGGGGCAGTCCCTCTGCCTCTGCCAGCGTGCCATCCCTAGCCATATCCCTTATTGCCCAATTTTTGTGCCGGTAGCAGTGCTCATCACCTCCCACATTGTGGGGAGATAGATCAGCAGATAGATATTTTGATGTTGTTGTTGTTTTGTTGTCCTTGGGGTATTTTTCTCCACGAACTGAGTCAGTGTGAGAGTAGATGAGTGAGCACGTGGCTGAGGGCAAGGGGCTGTGAGCTGGACTGTGCAGCACCTAGCTTTCGTATTTGACCCGGCAGTATTGCAAAGCCTGACACTCAGCTGCAACTGTTGACCTTTCAGCAATAGCACTCAACCCGTCTCCTACAGCATCAGCTTCTGAAAAGGCCTCATCACTGGAAGAACTCATCCCTGCCTGACTGATAACTCAGTAGCAGCCACTTATTTGAAGGTGCATATCTCTGATTTGGGAAGATGGGTGTGATTACTCGCATTAGAAAGTCAGCAGGCCACTTTATGGAGACCCTAAATACACTTGCCAAAAACATTAATGCTCCACTTACTTATTCTGCACCCTTTTTAAAACCTTCCTTTTCTCATGACTGTTCCAAGTATCACAATAGATCAGCTGTAAAATCATAAAACATTGGTTCTATCAGAAAGAGATGTGATTATATTTGTATTATAATAAAGCACAGTGTCTTTGAATTTCACGTTACTTTATAAGCAATTTTTCTTCCCTGTTTGAATAGACAAAATTGACTCCATGAATTTTGGAGCAGAAAACATCAGGATATCAAATGATTAAGGAAAAAAAAATTAAGTGATAGGACTTTTTACTCTGGTGATTCATCACAGGAACTATTCCAGAGAACAGTAAAGTTTACTGCTGCTATTAACCCATATGGTGTAAAGAGAAAACATTATATGGCCTAAGTGAAAATGAGGCCTAACCTTTTATCCTTTGTGAAGGCAAGGAGTGCGACATCAGGCCTGTTTTGCTTGTGTAAGCATTTAGGATTTGGCCCTTTTTGGTATGTTATCCAGTCATAGTCTTTATGACACTGGAAATGGCAGAAGCATGAAGAACGTGGCAGGGTCCATGACCAGGGAGTTAAAAATAAAGGTGATGTTTTCAGTTGGGCTATATGATGTTATCTCCTTAGAGTACGTACTTTTAGTTGTTTGATTTCAGCATCGTGTCTGAAAATAACTGAACACATTTATTTTCACAGTGAGGGGTCTATTTTCTCCTCAATGCGTGTGCTTTATGCCCATTAGCATTAATGGGAGTTATACACACACTTCCAGGGGAGAGGAGACTTAAATATTCCATATAGATGCGCTCTTGTGGATCAGTAACCACTGATTTAAAGAACGTGAATTATAAAATGAAATAAAAACCCAAACAAACACACAAAAATCTGATTGTTTCAGCGTGGTGGGATCTTAAACCTATATAACTTAACCAGAGAATATAACCAGTCATTGTAAATACACTTTACTCTCTGTAAGATCAAAATATTCAAACCTTTGGTGGTCTAGTAGTTGAGATATTATTATTGTGATAGTATGTATAATGTACTTTACCTTCTGTGGTCTTACAGCTTATTTACGGGGAGCAAGTTTTCTGTATGGTAGAAGTTGATTTTAACAGAACATGGACCGCTGACTATAGATTTATTCACATGTCCAGATGATTGATAGTTAGACCTAACTGCATGTCTCTTTTGTAGATATATTTTCTAGAAAGCTTGCTCCCATTGTGCATGCTTCAGTGATGTTACACAGTTGCCGCTGTCATAAATATTCTTTAACAACCGTGTTTGTTGCTTACCTGGCTTATTGAGAATGCCCCTTGCGCCTTTGGTTGTGAAAGAAGCAGCTTCTCATCCAGCTTCCATTATTTTTTTTTTCCCATTAATCTCTTCCAGGTCATATTCTGCTTGCACTGTGAGTAAATAGATATAAACTGTAAATCAATGATTTATTATTTGATTGTAATAAAATGTAAAGTAAATTTGCAACACAGGATTGGAGAGTTTGAAGCTGTAATCACAAGGAGCTTATTACTGTACATTATTTTGTTAAACTAGTTACAGGACAAAGTATTGCATCTGTTTGGCCATCTTTCAGACAGTTGATTCTAGTCATGCTTTTAACGGGAGACTAGCATTACAGGTGGAACTCGAGGAAAAGTAAGAAAAGGTCTTTCTGTAGACCATCCAGGAAAGCTGGCTCTGCGAAAGAAAGCAGTTACCTGGGATTCTTTACACAGTTATTACCTCTGTCCTCATTTCGTTGCAATGAAATCAGAACCATATTGATGTTTTTGTGACTTCGTCAGGTTTCAGAGTTAGTATCTGCTTAAACCCTTTTAGGGCTGCTGGGTTAGGTTGTTTGTGTACTTCCCCATTTGCTCCATGATGGGTGTTAATCCCGTCTCTCATTTTCAAGTACATGACCAGGGAGGGAGGATCTGGCAACTGCCTGAAGTATGTGGGTCAAGTGGTACAGTAAGGAATATTCCACTGGTGCCTATAAAATAATTTCCTTTGATTTCAGCAGCCTTTAACAGCTGCTCTGAGATTCTCAGGGTTCTAGACAAAGAGAAATGCATCTTTATTACCAACTCTCACATTTCAGCATGGCTATTGAGTCACTTAGTTTTTTCTGGGTAGAGTGGGGTAGGTTTGGTACTTTGTACTCCTACTTGAGATCCCTGTGTTTCACTATAGATTTCAAACAGAAAAGAAATCCAGTACCTCTTTCATGCAGGTAAAAACTACTGTAGCCCAGAGTGAGAAATATGGAACTAGGTTTTGTGTCATGTAGTTATCCAGGTA